GCCATCACGCCCCCCCCTTGCAATATTGAACTGGCATCACGCCCCCCAGCAGCTTCTCCCCTTGCAATATTGTCCCCCCCGCCCCCAGAGGGGTGCACCCCCCCAGTTTGGGAATCCATGATCTAGACTACATCCAGTTCTGTCGACAAAGCAAGCTGCGTTGTCGACATGACAGTGTGGACGCAAAGGACAGCGTAGAGGCGATGCCTCTATCGACAAAAGACGTTATTCACCCCCCCAGTTTGGGAATCCATGATCTAGACTACATCCAGTTCTGTCGACAAAGCAAGCTGCGTTGTCGACATGACAGTGTGGACGCAAAGGACAGCGTAGAGGCGATGCCTCTATCGACAAAAGACGTTATTCCTCGTAGAATGAGGTTTACCGCCATCGACAGAACTGCTGCGTTCGCTCGACGTTATGGCGACAGAACTCGGCGGTATGTAGTTTTGTCGACAAAACCCTGCAGTCTAGACATACCCACTGGCCTGCTCAGTGTCCATGGGGGCCATCGGGCACCCTGGGCAAGCGGGCAGAGGCTGAGCGGACGCCCTGGTACGGGGAGGCGCATGCCGGGTCCCGGGGCTGCCGTTACCTTGTACCCTTTCCAGTAGGCGGAAATGGTAGCCGAGGCCTGATGGCAGCGTCTATCATGTTTCAGCTCCCGCAGAAGCCGGCGAGACTGCGGGGAGGGAAGGGCGAGAGATCAGAGCCCCGCGGGCGCCCAGAGGAGGCGGCAGAGCAGGAGGAGGAAGGACAGAGACACAGAGAGACGGCCTCCAGCGCCCCTGCCCCGGGAGGAGAGACGCAGGCAAGCAGAGGTCCTATAGGGGCGCTGTGCTGCAGTGGGGCTCTCCCTGCCTCTGGTGCCAGTCTGCACCCTTCCAGTCCTGTCTCAGGCCCCTGCCCCCCACCCCGGGCCTGGCCAGCAGCACCAAGCACCGTGTCCCGTGTCGGATCCCCAGCGAACGTTTCGGCCACACAGCTGAGCCACCTGGTGGTGCCTTCCCCCCCAAGTGTGTCTGCTGCAGGGGGGGCTGCCCCCTCCTCACCTTCCACCCCCGGGCGTAAGCCTGGATCAGTAGCGCCGACCTCTTCATCTGCACATAGCGATTCTTTTGCTGCAGAGGGGAGAGTGCGGGGATGAGACGCCAGCCAGGGACCGGCCCTGCAGAGCTTTCCCCGGATCCTGTCCTGGGGGGTCCAACATCCCCAGGGGCCCGCCTGGCGCAGCCCTGCCTCCGAACACAGGGCAGGAGGGGACCTGTGTCCTGTTCTCAGCTCAACCGCGGACCCGGGGGGCCCGCG